TTGTACAAAATCGTTCAAATTAAGAATAATACGAGACATATCTTACAGTGCTGGATTTGAGGTTCTCACAGAGGTGGGATAGAATGCCGTACTGTCCGTTGAAAGTCAAAGGACGTTCCGGAGGAACACATCTCATTCATAACGAGGTTCAAAGAGTATATCAAGCAGGAAATTGGCATGAGGCAGCAAGCAGAACTATGGTTCTGGGGGCGATGTGTTCCTCAGAAATGTCAGTTGACTTTCACCGGACTAAGCGGCCTTTTCAGAACCATCGCTGTTAGAACCACAAACCGAACATACTAGGACAGTTTTATTTTACTTATTTATTTATGATTTATTTGACCGCCTCTGTGGTCTGGTGGTCAGAGTTCCTGCCCACAGATCCAAAGGTCCCGGGCTTGATTCCCGGCGCTACCAGATTTTCTGAGAAGTAGAGGGTCTGGAACGGAGACCACTCAGCCTCGTGAGGATAATTGAGGAGAAATTTCAAGGAAATAGCCGCTCCGGTCTAGAAAATCGAGATTAACGGCCGTGGTGATCCGTTGCGCTGACCACGTGATACCCTCTATCCGCTAAAGTTGACACTAACTTCGCCGATAAGCGGCGGTCGCTCGGTCGGTATAGTTCACTTGCAGACTACAACCCACGGATTATTTATGATTTTATTTAACCGTTCGGCGTGGTTTGACGTGTATGTTTCGTCAGGTATTTAACAAGGCTACCAGTAGGTAGCGTCGAATGATGGAATTACATGAGTGAATACTGAATTGGGAAGGATGAGGAAGGAAGCGATTGTAGCGTAATTTGAAGTAATATCCCGACATTTGTCGGGAAAGACTGAGGAAAATCATTTAAATATCTCAGGATAGCCGATCTGCAGGCAAACTTTCAGCAAAGAAACAGGAGTGCTGACCTCTCTGCCGAGGATATTTGTTTGTTACTGTTGTTCCTAAATTGGCCCACACGAATTCTGTCGGGTTAAAAATGTTATCATAAATTCTTCTGACATATAGTGTATGAAACTGTGTTGCTACTGCAGATGTTATGTGGCTTAGGAACGCTGCTGGGTTGCCGAGTTTTTGTACTGACTCGTGCACCCAATCCATTAAGGTCGAGTTTTAAACCCTAATTGCCACAAAGACTGAGCGGGGTAGTTACAACACAACTTTTATTTCTGTGGCTTGTCCTCGTTCCAGACGTCGCAATTTACCATTTGTCGTTCCACCAGTAAATTAACTAACGCTTTGAGTGAGAAAGTGGTACAAACAGCATACATGCGGCCATACGACATACTAAAATCTCTTGACGTCAACAAAATTATGTTGTTACTTAGTCCTAAATATCGGTTCAAGTGTTATTTACAGATGCTGTATCAACTTCAGAAGGTATTTAGCGTCGAGTGAGTTAACAGGATGAGTATTAACGGAGAACTGAAATAGATGGGAAGTGATCGTGGACTATTTTGGGTGCTAATCAGATATTCCTTTGAACGAATGGAGAAATTATAGTATTCAGTCAAGATAATAGATTCTTATTTTAAGATTCGAACCGGATACCTCCATAATACAAATCACGCCATTTTGCATTGTGCCAGCTGTTCCGTCCCGTATTCAGAGATGTCTGAAAAATGTAGGTAGTATGAAAATTGCGGACTAATTTATCAAAAATTGGATTAAGTAATTCCCGGATCTGGTCAACATGTCAATGTAAGTTACACTTAAATTTTAGTTCAAGATAGCAGTGGGCTGTATCTGAACTGCTCTCATTCGTACGTTTTGTATAGTTTCGCAACTGAGAGAAGAGTACAATGTATTGTCTATGAGAAGAAAATAGTGCGAATATTTCGAACTAAGACAAATGACCTAACGGTGGAACGACAAAATTTCGTATGTACAAAGTTCATGAACCGCTCTCTCAATGTAGCATAAGAAAGGTAACGTTGTCCCTGTGCTTAACTCATTAAGCACTACACCATGAGGACGTATGGGGGAGTGGATGTATAGATCCACCTTTTCTTGACCTCGGCACTGACTGGAGGTGAGTGGTCAGCTTTAGGCCCCGGCCGCTTTACCCCCGTGAAAGAACCTCTGTTACCTATAGCATAGGAGGCTGGGTGGACCACAGAGCCGATCTGGACGACGTGGAGAAGTGAAAATTCTTGACCCTACCCTGACTCGAACTTCCTCCTTTCGATCGTCCAGCTGGTAGCCAGTCGTTATAACCACTGAGCTATCCTGGCTCACCTCTTAATATAGCATTCTTATGATAATTAAAGAAATAAGGATGAGTCGAGCCAGGCATAAGGAACAGAAAATGTTCCTCTGGCCGCACCATTTTCTTCTGTTCTTGGAGTGGAGTGAGACTGGGTCACTTGGTGCCGCGGCCAGAAACAGCCCCGGGTGATAGGTAAGAGACTGGAACACGGATGAAAGGACAATGTTCAGCGGAAAACCGAGGATTGTGGAGAGAAATATACGCCAGTACCACTTAACTCCCCAAGAACTGCACTGGAATTGAACCCGAACTTCCTGAAGAAAAGCCGGTGACTGTTGCCTGAGTAATGGTAAAGCCTTGAACATCTCGCACGAAATGGACACATGACAGACTAATGAAGAAATTGGAGTTTGAACTGTATTATTAAAGGGTGCCTTGGGGGGATATGAAGAGGCAACAACAAATCGATAGGATGGGTCGGAATATGTTACGATGGCGGGCTTTATGGTTATGGAGGAGAAGTTTCAAGTGCCATAAAAATGAAGAATACACAGTAGGTCTGAATAATTTTCGAGTTCTTACAGAGGACGCGGTCGTGGCACAGCTCGGGGTGTTAGACGCCGTCTTCGCGGCGTAGCGGCTCGGGTTCTGGCCCAGGTTAGGTTTCTTGGACGAAATGGTATTGAGGCAGGGTTTTCTCTGAGTACTTCGATTTCCCCTGCCAGTTCTCATCCCATCAACAGCTCCATATTCATCTATCATCTGGAACTCGGCCCACGTGCCAAGTGGACTCAGTCTCACCCGAAGAAGCAAAGAACAGGGGAAGACGAGGCGCCAGAGATCCGAGGCTTCATATACATTTAGTCATTTGCAATTCAGAAATTCTTTCCACATTACGTAATTACAGACGGACACTACAGTTCTTGGCACCAAACAAAGCTTAATTACTAGACCAGTAATAGCTCTGTGGTCTAGTGTCCAGAGTTCCTGCCTACAGATCCAGAGGTCCCGGGTTCGATTCCCGGCGTTACAAGATTTTCTGAGAAATAGTGGGTCTGGAACGGCATCCACTCATCCTCGTGAGGATAATTGAGGAGCTATTTCAAGGAAATAGCATCTCCGGTCTAGAGAACCGAGATTAACGGCCGTGGGGATCCGTTGTGCTGACCACGTAACACCCTCTATCCGCTAAAGCTGGCACTAACTTCGCCGACAAGCGGCGGTCGCTCGGTCGTATAGTTCGCTTACTGACTACAGACCACGGAGTTTGTTTTGTTTGTAGTACGTAGTTATGCTGACTGGCATAATCCTCAGCCTTACATGGCGAGATTCCTTATAATTCTTCAGAATTCATTCATTCATACTCAAGACTCTATAGAGCAGGATTTTCAGTGTGAAGCTGATGGTGATGCAGATGATCAAGATATTCTGATTCTTTTATGGACTCTGAAGGTTTATTGCGGTGCGCGACTCTGAACCCTATCTTGAGCCAGCTGAATTCAGTTCGCATTCTATTTATTAAGGAATAAATTATTATACCATTCTGCCATCGCCATCCAGGTCTCTCAAGCTGCTCTTCCATTCACGTTTATCGGACTGAAATTTCTGAGTACATTTTACGTTTCGCCCTACATGTTCCGTCTATCTCATCAGCCTTGGGTTGTTTAGTTTCAAGAGCTACGGTAAAGAGGACAAGTTGCGAAACTCTTAAGAATATCAGTTTCTCCTCTCGTCTTGTCGTGTAAGTCCACACAGGGCAAAGGAGAACCTGCGATTTGAAAGCAGAAGGACGTTTCAGTTGCCATACCTGTCTGGCATATATCCAGCGACTGTACGATTCAGTGAGCTCCCTTAATGTTTAGCATTTAATAATATTTATTCCTATGACTGTGAGGCACGCAGTATCGTAGTTGGTTGAGGCACTATGCTACAAGCCGGAAGGTCGCGGGTTCAAGTCCCGATGAGGTCATTGGATTTTTCAATTGACCTAATCCTTCCAGCCGCCCTATGGCCCTGGGGTCGACTCAGCCTCTAACAGAAATGAGTACCAGGAATATTCGTAGGGGGTAAAGGGTGGCCGGCGCCTAAGGCTGACAACCTTGCGGCCATCTATTAGCCGATTGTCTAGAAAATGTGGGAACCTCAACATCTCACAACCCTATTGGCCCCACAGCCTGTTACATGGAAACCTTTACATTTTTTACTATATTTATGACTGTAATTTGAAAATAAAACTTGAAGCTAGAAAGTTAAAGCTAATGTGCATTAATGTTAAAACATTTGATTGCGACAACATATAAAACTGTCATAATAATTTTGACTAAGTTAATATTTATACAAATTACCTCTATTAATTAGCCTACTGCATAAGTCAGACATCTGCGAATGAAATGAAGGGATGTCTTGGAGTTCTTTGCCTTCTGAAAAAAAAAGTTGCGGAAATGAGAGTTTGGGAAACATATTTAGAAACTTTTATTACATTTTTAATTATCATTCTCACAAAGGACGCGTATTCCATTCAGACTGAGATCATGGTGGCGCTTAATTATTTTTTAATCCGCTATTTCTCTTAGCAGACTGAAGAAATTGTTTTTCATTAAATGCAAAAATAATGATTTGAAGAGCAGGAAACGGAAGCCATACTGCGACGACTGATCCACAGTAAATTGATCGCAAATTCGTTTTGGCGCTGCTGTTCAACAGTCTCCATTAGCAGTTCTACGGGTTTAACTCATTTCTCTAGGATATGAAACTAATCTTACGTTACCGGTGATCTACTCTTACAGAGCTCGACCTTGACTATTTGGAGCGCCGGAGAGAACATGCACGAGACGCCCGCGGCCCACCACCGGAAACGGAAGCGAGTCCAGACTCGATGGATCTGGTGAAAGTAATACTGCTGGGGGCCCCTGCCGTAGGCAAGACTTCAATCATACAGGTAGGATATGTGTCAAGCGCGCTCAAGGGAACATCAAGAGAAATCACTTGAGAGACTTGGGTTGGAGAATAATATTAAGTAACACCTCAAATTCCTCCTCGAGGACTACCGCCTTGTTGTGGAAAGGAGGTTTGTGTGCGTCAGTTTCCCGGAGAGTTATGCTGGCGAGGCTTAAGTTCCTCATAGAGCCACCCATGTAAGTTAGGTCAAAGGGTAGGTGCCAGACGAAATACTGTCCCTAGTCCTCCAGGTTGGAGTTTAGGCGTGAGGCTAAAGAACCAACCCCGAAAAATTTACTGTTATGAAGCCATGGAGGAGACGCAGACCCACACACAGTTGTAGCGCAGTAAAGAAGAAGAAAAATATTCTAAAGAAACAGCATGTGAGGTTCTGTGCTTGACTCATCTGACTGAATAGGAACTTTGAGTTGGTCTACCGCGAACACGGTAATGAATCTTCGTGTTTTATAACTGTTGAAGAAATTCTTAAACAGCTGAGAATCTCTCAATTTCTCAAGTACTAGTCACTGAGACCACTCTTAGTACGGCCACAAACCCTTGGAAACAACAAACAGTTTGACGTTGAAAGCCCTCAATAACCCTTGCTGTGTGAGCAAGTGTAATGAGCAAGAATTTGATTTTACATGCTGTCAGCCAATTTTAATATGAAAGTCACTTGTCCATTATGATTAGTTACATGTGAGCGCGCCCCCCCCCCTCGTCCCTTGCATTCATTGCGCATTCCAACGCAACAGAATTCCATCACGGCAACGAGCAGCAGGTCACATCACACAGAGATTCATAACTAAAACTGGTGAGGCCAGACATGAAACAACAGCACAAAAGTAATTTTCTCCCTGTAATTTAGGGATGTTGTAAAGACCCTTGTAACATCTATCCTTTCATCAATTTCGGTGCCTTTATAAAGGAAATTTACAAAAATTTATCTGTTAGCTTCTCTATTTCTGTCTGTCTGTATCTCTTCCACACATAAACACCAGAGAGTCCTTGGACGGGTATTAATTTAATCTGATAATAAACTACTCTGTTTCTCTATAATCCCAAAAACATTCTAATTTTTGTTAAATAGGGACGTTAATAAGGGACGCTTCTGCATGCGCGTCTTGAAAGAAACTAGGAGCATAACTCTCTAAATATTTGGTGAAGCGAGAAACGTCTCGAAATGTAATACCGAGGCATGAAACACACATTTTATGCCGATCACTTTCTTCTGTAAATCTTACTTTTTTCAAGATAATTTAAAAAAGTGAGCGAACACACCAGAAATGTTTTATGTGTATAAATTTCCTAATTTTCCCTCTAAACACATAATTCTTCATAAAGATACGTGCCTCTCACTTTGTAGGGCATTTGGATGGGTTTTGGCCAATCAAGAAGAGCTGCAATGTGTAATAAGAATATAATAACACAAGAAGCGGCTGACATAGCCTTCATGAATAACTTCAGTGGAGTTTGAACACGTGACCGCAGAGTTCAAGGGGTACGGGTCGGCAACTGGAACGAGCTCTGACACTATTCGTGTCCCTAAGATTTAAAATAAATTTCGTTTAATTAATCTTCTGCGAACTTTAAATTCCCTCTTCCAGCAGAATAATTTTTCCATGTCACGTTTGAAAAATAATTCACTCTGCATTCCTTCCCATAGATGGCAGTAAAGTACAGAGGCAATGATGTTTCCAACTGCGTAAACGTCGCGGGCAGACTTCGTTATATATATCTGTCATTTCTCTCATTCTTCCTTCTGTGTGTGTGTCTGGCTGTCTATCTATCTACCTACCTGCCTGCCTGTCTGTCTATCTATCTATTTTTTCTACCTCTTTCCTTCCTTTACTTAACACAAGTCTAGACCCTTACGACTACACCAACCTGCTAACTGAATTTTATGGACATATTCCAAGAAATATCAAATACGCAGAAAAAAGTTTCTGGAAAATGGAAATTTGGAGCCCCTAGTACGAGAAAAATTTGTTACCGCTTTGCCTATCCACCCAGTCTGAAACTACAGACATTAATCGAGATAATTACCATGCTATTTGGAATCAGGTCACAGTTCAGTTGTCAAAACTCTGCCGTCCATTGCTTCAACTACGCCTGCGAGAACTTCCCTCTCTTACTGGTAACCCCTGAAGAAGCAGAAGACTTGTGTTCCTCCACATGTCGCGCGTACTGAACTCATATCCCGCTCTAAGTCTAATCCCATTTCACAGTGGTCCCTGAAATGTTCTTCACAACTTACAGACTTGCATTAACATCATGTTACAGAAAGAGATTAGTTTCCATTTCAATTTTTGAGATTGGTTGGGCATGTAACACTCATCGAATTAATGGGACCTTCATACAAATTGAACACTTCAAAGACAGAGGAATAGATGGAAGGACAGTATTAGAATGAATTCTACATAAATATGACATTAATATATGGACAGGATTCATTTTGCTAATGAAAGAGCTACTGGCGAGCTCTTGTGAACCTCTGGGTTTCTCAAGAGGAAGGAATCTTCTTCACCAGTTAAGCGACTAGTAGTTTCTCAGAAGGAATATACTCCATATGTTAGAAAGTTAACTAAGTAATTCTACTTATATTTTTCTGAAGAAAAATGTTTTTATATTTACAATTAATTTAAAAGCCTCAATAACGTGCTTTTATTTGTATACATTCTTCAACCTGGACAAATTTATTCACATTAAACACTTTAAATATGCTGTTTCTTAGAGAACGCGAAGGTCCGTAGGTCTAATCTTATACTTTAGATAAAGAGTCACATAACATTCTAAATTTAGCAGTGACACTGAGGAAGCCAGCTGCAAAACAACGGAGAACTTGTCAACAGAAAAGATATTTAAAAGTGAAATCTATACTTCAACAAAGTGCGAACGTGAGTCAGGAGTTCATATTCAGTGGATGGGAGAAAAATGTGATATAAATTACATATGGGGGTTTGGGAGACAGCGCGGGCTGCATGCAAAGCGGAGCGGAGAGAGATTGCAGCTGTGAGGGTGGCCACCACTTTCATCCCTTTGCAGATAGACCACGCGTCACGACATAGGCTATTAAATTACAGCGAGGGAGAAGAAATTCAGGTAGAATAAAAACACTAGTTCTTACAAAAATTTACGGGAAGAACTCAAGAAACCTCCTCTCTTTTAAATATTTTAGTATATATAGAGCAGGCATGTCAAACTCAACTTCTACAGAGGGCCACCTCAGCCCTATAAATAATAGTCCAGGGCCGCACTTCAAAATAGAAATATACATTAGATTTTGACACAAGGAAATTTAATTATATTTATTATTTAGGAACAATTTCAATATAATTACCTAAAGTGGAACACTTATATTTTGCCCACAAATCAAACGTGTAATTTTAACTTCTATTTCACAACAGATATAAGCAATTTCCCATTTTCCTTGTAAAACACGGCGCTCACTTTCAATAGTTCTTTTTTTGGTGTTTCAATTTTTTGAAAGCTATAGTGCCCTTTAAAAGTTACTGTACATATACAAGAAAACTCGTAGTTGATAATTTAATGTTTAATTATAACCTTTATACATTCATCACAATGTAACATCAGCACCTGTCGCTGTGTGAAAATGAACTGAATGACAGTGTACAAGAGACTACCGGGCTAGTAGGCAGGTGTATCTTGTCTCAATGATCATAAAAGTTAAAGTTTTCTAGCAGCCCATTAGACAATGGCTGGGGGTTGCAAGCTAGTTTTGAAGGTAGAAATCCCTTGCACTTGTCTGTCAGTTGCCGCCCTCCTAGCATTCTTACTACGCCTCCAAAAGGGATTCTTGGAAATACTTGGGGTGGTGAGGCTGTGCAGATTTTAGTGCATTAACCTTCNTAATATCAATTAGCTCTAAAAGTTGAGGGGCCGCACTTTGTGGCTATGGGGCCGCATGTTTGACACGGCTGATATAGAGAGACATTAGCTGATGATATAAATTGATAATTACATTAAGCTATTTAATGTAACAATAATTAGTACAAGTTTTCAAATTCATAATATGTAAAAGTTTCAACATAACCTTAAATTTAAGTGCTATTACCACGCTTCAACGGTTCTGTGTAACTGTAAAATGCTAATTACTAAATACATACCAAACGCAAATCTCACTCAAATTTTAGAAAGTATTAAACACGCTATGCCTTTATACGAATTAGAATGCTTAACACTAACAAAAGACAAACCGAGAAGGAAAGAGACAATAGAACTGCACTTCCTTAGAGCGGTTACATATGCAGAATGAAAGGTTATAATCATTATACAGGTGTCAGATGGACACTGGGCACAAAAGATAACAAAACAACAAAATTATAGAAATTTCCAGAACTTTTGTTAAGAATATCATTATAACCAGAAGTTCAGAAGATGTCAGTGGCGTCCAAGAAAAGGATAGAAAGGAAAGTTTCAACCCTTGAAACCAGAAGAGACCAGGAGCTTAGAGTTGTCGACGATAACCAGGTTTGCCTTCAGAGCAGAGGGCAGAAGAAGTACATTCCTCCTAAATACTGATAATCACCTACCAAACTACGAGGTCGACAGTCTGAATTGTCTTTCCTTGTCCTTCTACATCTTAAAAATGAAAGCTTTCCATGACCTACCCTCACCAACATCCTAGTGGAACTTCCTGCCCACCATCTCCAATACTTCACTATCATAAAATAACTCGTACGTATCTGTGTAAGTCAAGGAGTTCCTCGTTGTGTAATGGCCTAAATTGATCACATGATGCATTATTCTTAGGTCCACACATGTTCCTGAGCACCTTATTTCGCAGCGCTTGGGATTCGAGTTTCGAAAGCAAACTCAATAACTGACTAATAAATTTACAGACAAAGACAAACTTTCTCCGTATCATTCAATATTCCAGTTCTTATTTGGAACGTCTTTTCTGAGACTGAACACTGTCTCTGTCCTCAGGTAACAAGCGTACTCTGTTGGGCCCAATCGATCGAATTATTCCCCATTTCC